GATGGCAAAGAAGCGCTGGAGAGTTCTGAAGTGGCCAGCAATGAGCCCAGATCTAAATCCCATTGAACACCTGTGGAGAGATCTTAAAATTGCTGTTGGGAAAAGGTGTCCTTCCAATAAGAGAGACCTGGAGCTGTTTGCAAAGGAAGAGTGGTCCAAAAATTCCGGGTGAGAGGTGTCAGAAGCTTATTGATGGTTATAGGAAGCGACTGATTTCAGTTATGTTTTCCAAAGGGTGTGCAACCAAATATTAAGTTAAGGGTGCCAATACTTTTGTCCAGCCCATTTTTGGGGTTTTGTGTGACATTATGTCATATTTGCTTTTCTGCCTCTGTTTTATATTTGTTCCAATACATACAAAGGGAATAAACATGTGTATAGCAAAACATGTGTTAATGCAATACCTTTTTTGTGTGAAATACTTGATTTTCAGGAAAAATATCAAGGGTGCCAACAATTTCGGCCATGACTGTATATATATATATATATATATACATACACACACACACACACACACACACACACACACACATATATATATATATACACATACACACACACACACACACACACACACACACACACATATATATACACACACACACATATACACACACACACACACACACACACACACACACATATATACACACACGTGATTTTGCGCACCCCTGCCGTCCTGTAGCAGTATATCACCTATAGGGCAGTCGGGAAGCGATTAAACAGAAGTTGGGGCAGCACAGTGGGTGAGTGGTTTTCTAACCACCTGGCAGTATTCAGGTTGATGGTTCGAATCCCAACCACAGCACCACCTTCCTGGAGTTTGCATGTTCTCCCTGTGTCTGAGTGGGTTTCCTGCGGGTACTCCGGTTTCCTCCCACACGCCAAAGACATGCTGGTAGATTCATTGGCTCCTGTCTAAATTGGCCCTATTATGTGTATGTATAAATGTGAGTTAGGAACCTTAGAAGCTCCTTGAGGGAAGAGGCTGATGTGAATGTACAATATATACAGTGGATATAAAAAGTCTACACACCCGTTTAAATGTTAGGTTTCTGTGATGTGAAAAAATGAGACAAAGATACATAATTTCAGAACTTTTTCCACCTTTAATGTAACCTATAAACGGTACAACTCAGTTGATTAGCAAACTGAAATCTTTTAAGTGGAGGGAAGTAAAAATAAAAAACGAAATAATATGGTTGCATAAGTGTGCACACCCTAAACTAATACTAATACTTTGTTGAAGCACCTTTTGATGTGATCCCAGCACTCAGTCTTTTTGGGGATGAGTCTATCAGCATGGCACATCTTGACTTGGCAACATTTGCACACTCTTCCTTGAAAAAATAAATCTGTTAGACTGCGAGGACATCTCCTGTGTATAGCCCTCTTCAGATCACCCCACCCCAAAAGATGAAGTTCACATTGCCTTTGTGGGTCTTTTTTTTTTTTACCTTTTAATAAAGTGCTGTGGATAATGCACTAGGCGTTTGCTCCCTTTGTTCCATTTATTTACGTGCCAGGCAACCAAAGCTATCAGGTGGTCTGTAAAGTCAGCCTTCACTTGATATACTTCATCCAGTAAATGAGAGGAACAGCCATTTCTGTCCTCTCTCTCAGCTTCTGCGCAACAGCAGAGAAATAATGGATATTATGATTCTTGGCCACCCTATAGCAGCAGAGAGCTTCAAAAACACAGCAGACAGCGCTGTTGAAACTTCCCGTCTCAATGGCAACAGGGAGTGCGTTCAACTACACGTTAGCTGACATGTACAGTGAAGTGATCTTCTGACACTTTTTGTAGAAGGCGAAATTAGGATGGCTGCAACACTTTAGGATCGGTTCACACCCTTTGATTTCAATGGCACCCGATCCCAACCTATGGGACTCAAGGCGCAGTGTCTTCAAAAAAGGTTTATAAACTAGTTTGATGTGACAGAGTCCCATAAACTCTAATGTCACATGAAAGTCACAAGCAAGTCGCACTGGAAGTGGCACGACAATGGGGCTGTACTAGTGAAACCAAGCCTTAGCCTCTCACAAAATGTAGCCATTACTGCATATGCACAGTATTCGTTTATACCATTGGTCTCCAGGAAAATGGTGCCTCTGCTGTGTATGCGTGACAGGTGCTTTAAGCTGCGTTGCAATGTGGCGCGTAGAGGACACGATGAAAAAGGAAAACAAGGGGAAGGGAAATAGGAAGTGGTCTGAAGGCTTAGGAAGTGAATCTGGCACTGCATAACCCTACTCACCACCACAACAGAAAGTTCTGCATAGACACGCAGAACGGGTATCTGAAATGAAACCTATCATGTCAGAATTACAGAGGCTTTCATCACAAACATTGCACAGATGATGATCAGAAAGCGTGAAACGACTGTATGCAGTTAGGAATAAATGGCTCTAGAATATTAGGCTAGATTTTTCACTATACACTAGTGGTTCTGGATGGGCATTTTGCTAATTGGATGATAAATATCCTGAAACAGTATGAAGTTAGAAGTCTCTTATTTTGAAATATGTGACTGAATGAGACATTTTCAAAAAATGGTAAATATGGGACTTTGAAGGTGCTTATCACATACTGTTAAAATTCAACAATTGTTTATTTTGTTAGAAGTCTAAAATATTACAGATTAAAAACAAGTAGGAATGAATATGGTCTTGTCCTCCACTGCCATATTTGGCACCTTTTGTGGGGGAGCGGCTACCTGTTTTTGACAGGTACCCACTCTCACTTCCGTCTCAGTTCACTGTGGCGAAGTCAGCCAGAAGTTCAGCCCCCTCCTCTCTCCCGCAGTCTCCTGGGAACTGTCACAGGTCCCAGAAGACTGCTGGACAAATTAGGGAGCACAGCGCGACCTGCGCAGGTGTAGTGGGCACCCGGCTGTGAAAACGCAAGCCATCACAGCCTGGTGCCCACAGTAGACAGTGGAGATCCTGCGATCCCTGGATGAGCAATCTGCAAAAAGGATCGGTCATTGAGGAGACTAATAGCCCTTTGGCCCTGTGTGGGTCAGTGTGGGGAGGTGAGCAGGCACTGCTGCCATTTGAGGATTTTGTGCACTAGAAGTGAAGATCACCCTCTTTTTTCATAAGTTACACCTGCATGGACTTTTGTTTTTTTACACGGATGATTTATTTGTGTGATTCACAGTTATCAGCTTAATAGCTGGATTTATGAATTGTTTTTGATAGACAAATAAATAAGTGATATAATATATCTTGTGCGTCACCTATTATATATATTTTTTGGAATTTATAAGCTTGTTATCACAGAGCACTATGAGTTATTAATGGCACTATGGTATATATATATGTAATTTATAGTGCTTCACTAATTTATAGATATATTATTTGATCACTTATTGGTTTAAGTCGAGTGACAGCAGCTTTTAATATAGGGACTCCATCTATATAAAGCGCAGGAGAATACCCCCAATCACAGTAGAGATGTCGCCACTGTGGAGGAGAGACTGGACGCCCGCGGGTGAGAACAATCGCTGGACTCCAGGACAGGTAAGTGTGTGCTTACTAAAAGTCAGCAGCTACAGTTTTTGTAGCTGCTGACTTTTAATAAACACAAAAACGGCTGGAACTCTGCATTAAAAGGAGGAAAAAGATAAAGCTTCAAATACAATGTCAAGCAGCAGAATCTGATAGAACTACAGGAGGCCGAAGCCACATGGGCATCCCATCTACACATATTCCAATACACTTAAGATACTTGGAAGGAAGAAGGGAGTTGCTTTGGAGGGGGGAGTGGCTTTGAAAAGTGGGAGTGGCCGTGGGCAGGGTTTGACCTTTGACCCACACCCCCTGGGCGACTTGCCATTGCCTAGTATCCACGTGGACTCCACTATCTGTACTGTCAATAGCCCTAACCCTAACACGTGTTAATCCCAACAAAGCACTTATTTTTAAAGTTTTCGGCGCCAAACACTGACGCGCTTGGCCACTCACATTGAGACTTTAGAGAAAGAACGCAACGCTAACGCTCATAGAAAAACTGTGTATGAAACTGATCAATTGTATAGGTCCCCTGAGTAAATTCCTCTCCAACAATATATCTTGAATCCTTTTGTACCTTCAAGGAAATACAAGGAAGGAGAAAACAGTACAGGTAAGTGTACATATATGCAGCCAATATGGCTGTACCCCACCAACCAAGTAGAAGGCTTTGTAATTCCCCTAGTCCAGTGGTCGGCAAGCCACGGCTCGCGAGCCACATGCGGCTCTTGTGTGCTGGGCGCCCGCTCCCCTCCCTCCTCTCGGGCAGCAGGGACTCTGCAGCGTGATCCAAAAAAAAAAAAAACAGCCAGGGCAGCGCGCTCAAATGCAATGATTGGCCAGTCTCGCTGCCACTCACATCCTGATAGCCAGTGATTGGCTGTCAGGATGTGTGTAGGCGGGGCAGCGTGACGAACGTGAGATGAGCTAGGCTCCTCTCACAGTCCGCCCTGAAGACCGGAACGGCGCGGGAACACGGCGAGAGGAACGCGCGGAGCAAAGGTAAGTGAATGGACACAGGGGGGACTTGGCTTACTACTTGCTACTTACTTACTACTACTATATGAGGGATGAATTAATATGGGGGATGAATTACTATAGGGGGGGTGAATTACTATATAGGGGGATGAATTACTATAGGGGGGATGAATTACTATATGGGGGATGAATTACTATATGGGGGATGAATTACTATGGGGGATGAATTACTATATGGGGGATGAATTACTATAAAAACTTATTGAAACTAAAAACAGTGTACCATCCTATGTATTTTCAGTTTTAAAAATGTGGCTCTCAAAATAAATTTCAATCGTGGTTTTGGCGAGATTTGGCTCAGTTGAAAAAAAAGGTTGCCCACCACTGCCCTAGTCCATTCTCACCTTGACCTATATAGAAACACCTTTTTGAAAATGCTAGCTGCCTGTGTCCAGCTTTTCCACTTTCCCTATCACAGACCTGGAACAAGCAATCAGCATCCATACCTGGCTTGGGGTAGTCCTGAACATCATCGGAGGGCCAGTTCTGGTCATCTACAGATGCCAGTTTCAACTGCTCCAGGGAATGGGTGGTTTCATCTCTTTCCAAATCATCGCTTAGGTCCACAAGGGCATCGGAGTTCATCATGACTACTGTAAATAAATAAATAATGTAATTATTATTTGGGTAGCCGCACAACAATTGAACTAAAAAGCATGTCCGGGATGTAAAAAATGGCAATGTCTGCGCAAGTCATTCTGACCACAAAACTGCTGGAAATGTAAGTTACCAATTTTTATTTCTACAAGCCCAATTGCAGCCTACACCTCCCTTGCCCCATAATATACACCCCCCCTTCCCTTACATGCATACACAATTTGTATTTTTTTATAATTTATTTTGTATAGTTTTCTTTTTTTGAAATATCTTCAAGCAGGTCATGTAACATGCAGGGTTATCTTCCTCCTATTGTCTTGTCCATCAGTTGGAGGTCCTCAATAATGCGACTTCCAGTGCAACTTGCTTGTGACTTTCATGCAACATTAGAGTTTATAGGACTCTAAGTCGCATCAAAGTAGTAGAGGAAGCTTTTTTGGCGCGCTGCGACCAGAGTCAAATAGACTGAAATGGGTGCCATTTAAACAAATGGGTTTTGACTTGTCATGCTAATTTGTGTCACAAGTAAGTCATACTAGTGTGAACTGTAAAATTCCTGGATAAATCTAATTAAAAAAAAAATGCTCCTTTCCTCCTCCTAATACCCAACTTGACTGACCCAAGTAGGAAAGCAAAAGAAAAAAAGGAAAGGGAGCAGTGCTGTGGTAACACACTTCAGTTTTACAAGGTTATATAATTATGTGCAACACTGGAAATATTAATTGACTACAGACATATCCCAAGTAATAAAATATGCAAAATGAGATAGAATGTGCAATACAACCCATCTTAAAATATGTGCACAAACCCCAATTAATAATGTATTTATAAAGTGCCCATATAAACAAGTCAATAAAAAGTGTCCATAACACATGTGACTCAATTATAGACCATATAAATACTCCTCTGTGTAAACTATTCACTTGTGAAAAGAAAAAAATTGTGCTTTCATTATCGTACCTCTCCACGCTCTCCTCCCTTGTCCAAATTCAGACCCCTTAAAGTAATAAAGGTCTTACTCCGCTTTTGCGATTTTCAGCTCCAAATGGCTCTCCTCTCCACCTTGCCAGGTTATGCAGCTCCTCTTTATTTACCAGTAACATGTATAGACTTACCCGTTTTCAGTCCGCTCTGGTTCAGTCACATGATCTCCCCTGTGTCAGCCAGCGCTGGCTGCAAGGGAGAGGAGAGAGCAACGGTTGGCAATGCCAGGTAGCAGGGACGTCACCCATGGGCTTCCTATGGCCCATCTGTTGTCAGCACTCCCTCCTTTACCATGCAGCTGCCACTGGCTGCCACTGGGGAGCCGGATATCGTTATCAGACCGAAGCGGCCTGAAATAGCCAAGTATATTTATGTTTGTGTTGGGGGGGGGGGGGGGGGGAGGAGCAATTATTATTATTATTACATCGAGTTTATATAGCGCCAAAGGGTTTGCTCAGCGCTGTACAATAGAGGGGGGGGGGACAATACATGAGACAGTACAGCAACAACAAACAGCACACGAGGGGTTAGAGGGCTTACACAATCTAGGAGGGAGGGGGTAGTGGTACAGGAGGAAGTGGCTGTGGGGGATGGAGTGGTAGGAGGAATGAAGGAGATCGGCTGTTAGATGAGGGTGGGGTAGGCTTCCCTGAAGAGGTGGGTTTTCAGGGAGCGCCTGAAGGTGAGGAGGGAAGGTGACAGTCTGATGGATTGGGGTAGTGAGTTCCAGAGGATGGGGGAGGACCTGGAGAAGTCCTGCAATCGTGCGTGGGAGGAGGAGACCAGGGAGCAAGATAGAAGGAGGTCCTGTGAAGGAGCGAAGGGTACGGGTAGGGTGATACCTGGGAATCAGGTTGGTGAGGTAGTTAGGGGCAGCGTTGTGAATGGCTTTGTAGGTCAGAGTGAGTAGTTTGAATTTGATGCGTTGGGCGATAGGGAGCCAGTGGAGGGAGAGGCAGAGGGGGGGTGGCAGAGGTGGAGCGGTTGGTGAGGTGGATGAGTCTGGCCGCTGAGTTCAGGATGGTCTGAAGCGGGGAGAGCCTGCACTGGGGTAGGCCGGTGAGGAGGGAGTTGCAGTAGTCGAAGCGTGAGATAATCAATTAATCAATCAGATAATCAATTTTAAAGAATATGCAAACGCAGCATATTAAATTTCCTGATATATGCCTGCTGTACCATGTACTTTTATGAAAAAGTATCCTGTTCTCTTTGCACTGCTTCCTTTGTGTAAAATCCCTGATGTTCCTGCCAGTTTCTCCACCTTTCTATCAAAAACTGACCACACTAGGCATGAGAGCACAGAGAGCTGCGCTGGGAGCTCAGTGTACTCTCCTCTAGGGTTGCACCGATACTGTTGTTTTATCATGGGTGAGTACCGATACTTGTGCTCAAGTACTTGCCGATATCAATTACCGACACCTTTGCGGTGCGATCTGAGCCCATAGAAAATGAAGGGCTCACATCGCACCCCACCTGCAGGGAAACTGCATGTGATTCGGACAGGAACTGCACTGCTTTCCTGTTCAAATCACAAGTGATTCTTTGCAATGCGATCTGAGCCCATTCATTTTGTAGGGGATCAAATCGCACCACAAAGGAATCGGTTTCAGGTATCGGAGTCATGTAAATGCTTGGTATCAGCACCAACCCTACTCTCCTCCAACGATCAGAATTGTCCTGAATTGCCTCCCCTCACCCCCCACACAGCCATTCACTGAGAAGACCAGTGTGCTGCTGTTTCAACTCCCCCAGCTCTTATGCAGTTGAGAACAGAGGAAACGTGATCACTTATTTAAAAAAAAAAGTGTGGGGGGGTGGGGGAAGAGAAGGTATTTTTATTGATGTCTGGAGCAATAACTTCGTATGCAGTAAAGCTACGCAGAGTTGCATCTGCTGATCTAAGGCTATTATAAAGCCTGTCACAGAAATACTGCTTCCCTCAGATGTTTCTGAGACAGGCATTGTCTGCCTTTGAAGTATATGTAAACCCAATCGAACATACATAGTAATGCAATTTCAAAAGTGGTTTTATATGTGACACCATTAATTAAATGAATACCTGTAACCTTGCCATGAAGGGTATTGTTCAGGCACTTCCTATTATGAAGTGACAGCGCTCTGTCCTGGTCTCTCAGCTGTCCTACTGCATTGACACCCTGTCACATGCTCCCTGGTGAAGACAACAAGGAGCCATGCTGACCCACATAGCACTGACATAGTCCACCATTGTCACCATCAGGAGGCTGGCCCAGAACAATGGTGTCTAGCCCATGCTGGGATGACTGCATAGAGACAGGAAGTGGCTAGAAAGGCTGGAGTTGAGATGCAAAAGAAAAAAAAATACTGGAAAATGGCATTTGTTTATGATTCATAGAGGTTTTGCAATCTAAAGCAAAAACTACTATTAAAAGCGAAAACAAAATTCTCAAAAACCAGCTAAGGCCTCTCGGGGGAAATAAAAACTATTTTACAAGATTCAGAAATACTTTATGGCATCATGGGTTTAGGCAATAAATAAAAGGATCACTTTCTCTTCTTATGACGGGGATACAATCCAGGACCTGCGATCTGACATCCATCTAGCTGTGACATACACTCTATAGTGCAAGTACAGAGACACCTTTGAAAACACTGGCACATGGCCCAGGGCTTGCGTGTGTACAGAGGAGGCAAATGAGTTAAACCTCAGCTGATAATGCAAGCCTTGAAGCGCCTTCATTTATGATTGTTCAAGGACTTTACCTTTCACAGTTACTAGCGATCAGAGGCTGTTTTATACATTTTACAGAAGAGCTGGAAACCGCACAACAGTTTCCATAGAGACTGGAAATAGACATGAGAAGAGAAAAAAAAAAAAAGCAGAAATTTCCTGCTGTTTTCTCATAGACAGGAGCTATAAAAATACATAGGAGATGGATCCTAGTCGTAGAAGATGGATCCAATTGTAAGCGAAGGATTCTAGCCATAGGTCATGGATCTAATTGTAGGCAATGGATTCTAGTCGTATGAGATGGATCCAATTGTAAGCGATGGATTCTAGTTGTAGGGGATGGATCCAATTGTAAGCAATGGATTCTAGTCGTATGAGATGGATCCAAATGTAAGCGATGGATTCTAGTCGTAGGGGATGGATCCAATTGTAAGCGATGGATTCTAGTCGTAGGTCATTGATCTAATTGTAGGCAATGGATTCTAGTTGTAGGCGATGGATCCAATTTTAAGCGATGGATTCTAGTCGTAGCGGATGGATCCAATTGTAAGCAATGGATTCTAGTCATATGAGATGGATCCAATTGTAAGCGATGGATTCTAGTCGTATGAGATGGATCCAATTGTAGGCAATGGATTCTAGTCGTAGGGGATGGATCCAATTGTAAGCGAAGGATTCTAGCCGTAGGTCATGGATCTAATTGTAGGCAATGGATTCTAGTTGTAGGCGATGGATCCAATTTTAAGCGATGGATTCTAGTCGTAGCGGATGGATCCAATTGTAAGCAATGGATTCTAGTCATATGAGATGGATCCAATTGTAAGCGATGGATTCTAGTCGTATGAGATGGATCCAATTGTAGGCAATGGATTCTAGTCGTAGGGATGGATCCAATTGTAAGCGAAGGATTCTAGCCGTAGGTCATGGATCTAATTGTAGGCAATGGATTCTAGTTGTAGGCGATGGATCCAATTTTAAGCGATGGATTCTAGTTGTAGGCGATGGATCCAATTTTAAGCGAAGGATTCTAGTCGTAGCGGATGGATCCAATTGTAAGCAATGGATTCTAGTCATATGAGATGGATCCAATTGTAAGCGATGGATTCTAGTCGTATGAGATGGATCCAATTGTAAGCGATGGATTCTAGTCGTATGAGATGGATCCAATTGTAAGCGATGGATTCTAGTCGTATGAGATGGATCCAATTGTAGGCAATGGATTCTAGTCGTAGGGGATGGATCCAATTGTAAGCGAAGGATTCTAGCCATAGGTCATGGATCATATTGTAGGCAATGG